GGCCTGGCGGTCTAGGATCCAAATACGGCGCGACCGCTATGACGAGACCAGACAGATCAGAGCAGATCTCTTTGAGGTATCATCCAAAGATACTCACTGCGGAAGTACGCGTGACCAAGATGAAGACGCAGAGGCGGGACCACAGGCGTTCAACACCCTCGCCATCGCGCAATCCAAGACCCGGCTGGAGACGAGGATTATATACAAGTTGGCAGACCCATTCATGACCATAGGCATGCATTGCGGAGACTGCCCATAGCAGGCGGCTAGCAATCTCTGGAGGAAGGAGATCGTACTAAACACAAATAGATGCATTAGCAGGGGTCGCGGGACGCAATGATGACAAACATACCCGTGCAATGCTCCGCTCAATTACACAGCCGATATCGTATAGACCACAAACCGTGGCATTGGGAGGAAGGAACTTGAATAGCCAGATCAAGAGCGTCAGGATATATTTCTGCTGCTCGCCGGGCGTGTCGATGTTGACCAAGAACAAAGGGATATCGTGAGAGCAAATGAGGGCCATGACTCCGGTATCATCGAACCGGCCGGCGTTCGTCTTGGCCTTCTGCTCATCCGCAGCTTCATGTCCTGACTTACAGTTGTCGACAGCTTCTTCAGGGACTCGTGGCACCCATGATGTGTTGGGCGGTTTCTTGCGCTGCTGATCAATGAATGTGCCAATGTTGTCGACCTCAGCCTTCGGGATGAAGTACTCAGGATCATACATCGTCGGGCCATCACCAGCCGTGCGCATATGCCGATGGCTGAAGTTACCATCTGCAGCGACAATGATATCGGCACCTCTGTAAACAGGATCATATGAGTTATAAACGTATAGGATATATCATGAGAACATACTCAGAGAAGCTTCGCCCGAAGGTATCGCCGCCAAAGCAGGCTGGACAGCGGCGCTGAAGAAGAGTGGCGCATGTACGAAGCGATGCAGGACCTGCAATACGCGGTGGGGCGCCATTACCGCGCCCTGGAGACGCAGACAGATGATCCGAGACACAATCTTCAGCGAGCGAAGGCGGCATATCTAAGTCGGACGGCAGGGGACTCTCTGCAACAGGCCCTGCTGTGGCGGTGTCCACGGGTGTGGGCGACATAGGAGAGGGCTCAGGGCATAAGGGCAGCATCCTGTCGGTTTCAGACGATCCAATTGCAGACTCGTTGACCTTGGCTTCAAGATGGTCGGATACAATGCATCGTGCCGATTCGATGGCTGTCTCGATGCGACGTTCAACCACAATACGCAGATGATCGTACCACTGCACAGCGCGGCCTAGTGGCTTCCGGAAAGGGTCCAAAAGCGGAGCACCCTATCAACAGGTCAACCGTGGACATCTTGCGAATAATTCCATAGACGTACCGTAGAATCCAAAATTCGCCATCCGCGTCTAGTATAGAAATTACGAAGGGCGCGTGCAAGTGCAGTAACGGCGTCGCCCGATCGCTCGAATAATGCAAGGTAGAAGTCCAACAGATCGATCGAGACGGCGGTGCGAGGTTGAGATGGAGCGGTGGGAAACATCCCGGATGCAACCAGAGCATGCGGGAGTGGCACGCACTCGCAGAACGAGACGGTGACTGTCTCATAATCTTTATCAATGGTTCAGTAGCGCGTTGTGCAACACAAAAATGGATCACGCACGATCCCAGAACAGTAGCAGAACATCTTGTGACTTCGAGATGCAGTCGGCAGTTGTGCAGGTATGGACAGGAAGGAATTGCACTGACACAGGACTACCTGCGCTGCGCTGCAGGTAGTCGAGTAGAGGGCTGACCAGATCAGGTAGGAGCACTTTCCATCGTTCGTAGAGAGACATCTTCACAGCTTCGGGGACGGGACGTTTACGCTTGGGATTTGGCGAGGGAGTAGACGGGATCACATCCGAAGGCTGAGACGCGTCAAGGACCGTAGGACGCGTAGGAGAGCTGTGGATGGGGCCAGAAGAGGTGCCCGCGTCGAAATCATCATCGGGGATGTTACCCAACATCTCCACAGGCGGTACAGGAGTCGTTTGGGAGGAGGAGCCATGGGTATGGGTGGATCGGAGCGTTTGAAGTCGCTCCCGTAGCTGCGCCAGCTGCAGGGAGCGTCCGATGAATTCCACAGGCATCTGGTTGGTGGGATGCCCTCGACGCTTCTTCCGGGGCGTAACAAACGGTTGACCCATGCCAGGAATGTGCGGCTGTTGATCGCGTAGAGAGGGCGCCATGTTATGATGTTACAGAGGTACTGGCATAGACAATGTGCAGGAATGAGGTTCGAGAGGTCCCCAGATGAGCGCACCGAACGCGCCAGCGAGCGCGACCAGGCGCCATTGACGCGTCGGCGGCGGCGGGCGCGGCTCATTTGGAGAATATCGCCCAGGATGAGGAGGGCGAGGTCGTGGCATATCGAGTGGCAGCAATGCGCGATGGAGGAAACGAGGCCTCAGGATTCTTTGCAAGATAATATTCTAAGGATAACGTAGAGGTCGTGGATGTACCAAACATCGAAGTGCCATACCAGGCAATCCGGATCTACGCTAAGGATTATCGACGGGATAACTTAGAAGATAAGGTCGGAGATTGATTCGGAGATGCGACAACTTAGGGCCTTGCTGCCCTGTACATCTAAGGGCCTAAGTTGTGGATTATGTAAGCGATTGATGCATGGACTGAGGTGGGTGCCTCTGGCTGACTCCGCTGATTGGGTAGCTTACCTTTGGCGCCTCTCGATGAATCAAGAACCTATTCACTGGTGGCGAGCCGGAGGCGTCACAACGTGGTGAAGAATATAGGGTCTGGATTTGTCTATTTTTATGCTTATTTGGTAGGGCGCACATAAGCATATCCTGATAGCTGATATGATAGCGTCCCTCTTGACAATACAACTTGGTCCTGACTGTTGCATCTCGAAATTCAGAGGGTGAAAAATGCATCACGCTATATTAGCTAATTCTCGACATCGAAGAACTTCACTCAGAATGTACGCCTAGATGGACACGGTCAGGAAGCACTCGGGCTCTCGGGAGTTGAGCTGATGGACGTTCACACAAGTAGTATTCGGCATTACAAAGCACGGAAAAGTGGCTTTTCCAGCGCGACTGAGCTGTATCGAGAGGCGAGGTGATATTGTTAGGGCCCAAGTTATTGTCCCCGCGTATGAGCCGAAGCTGACTGCTGCATATAAATCAGGGCGGCCTCGAGATATCGCAAGGAGTCTCTCTTTAGCAAGACCCTCAGTCACGGGTCATCTTACTTCTGATTTGTCTAAGGTATTGTCCGACAGTTAGCCTTCGAAGTATACACTATCCCTCTCAGACAGCACGTACCAGAAGGTGGAGGCATGTCACCCCGCCGGACCGGCAAAGCGCCAGTAGTATCCATCGGGACCTGGGAGAGTTCTGGGCAGCTTGGCCATACGTCCGTCGCTTCGATATCACCGTCTCTACCTGCGACTCCAGCCGCAGTAAGTCCATCTGCATCAGGTTCAGCAACTTCATCGCTGCCTGTCGGTTTACTGACATCCAATTCGAATATCTCGCTGTCAACGTCTGCAACACCGTTCGCACCTTCGACACCGGATCAGTCCATGTTATCTGCAGGACTGTCATCTGCCCTACCGTCGCAAGCTTCCACTTCGAGAACTTCGAATTCCAAACAGCATCACGATACGCTGATCGCTGCAAATGTTGGGGTCTTCGGAGGTATACTTGTCTTCTTCGTGGCTATCACGACCTGGAGACTTTGCACTTCCCGGCGCACTTACCAATTGAATGGTCGGGGTTTAACACTTATAAAACTCGGACTACCTCTGATACAGTACACGAATGCAGTCGTTCAGCGATTCGGATCCTGGCGTAAACGTCGGCCTTTTGCCGCAAATGCGAAACCTCCGTGTATAGGTCCAAGTTCGGAGCCAGACGCTACGGTTTTAACCTCCACATCTTCCTCTCGTATTGCTGAGGGCAGTGGTAGGACAGCTGTAGAAGAAAGGACCCGTCCAGGCATTAGGCATGCCAACAGCGTCTCTACGGCGGCAGTGCGAGAAGCTGAACCGTCGAGGCGAGCTCTTTCACCTACACGGGAGCGCTTCGAGTCACCGCCATCACCGTCATCCCCGCCCGACGCACTTCTAGTAGTATCTGCCACAACTTATCAGCACCAAGATTCAGGGATCCGACTCGCGCCAGCATATCTCGAAGAGATACCTCCCCCTTATTCACGTGAATGATAGTGTTAGCGTTAGGTTGTCCTCGTAGTCAGACATAGCATTAACTGTTCGGGTCTAAATGAACTTTGTGGTGTAGAACGCGAATAGGGCGTGGTTCGAATTGCTTCCTGAGAACTGCTTTCGATGTATATCGACGCTGGTGGGGAGTCGGACCCGACGTGAACACCGACGCACATCCGGGGTTCGACTCCCCGCCTCGATGAAACTATCTCTGGTTCGGGATGAGCTCTTTTCCATTGAGCCCGCAGGCTATTTCCGTTGTAAACCGACGCTGACGGGGATTCGAACCCCGCTTTCCAGACCAAGGACGGGGTTCGACTCCCCGCCATGCAGGCAGAACCCCCTCCTTGCTGCCATTCTCAGCGGAGCGGCTCAGAGGGAGAAACACAACCACTCACGCGCATGAGAACATATAAGAAACTAGTTTTACCCTGGCAGGGAGTCGAACCCCGCTTTCTCTATACGACAGACGGGGTTTGGCTTCCTGCCAAAATACACTATTTTCTTGTGTAATGTAGCTTTTGCTCGCTCAGTGGTCGGAAGAGATTCTGAGAACACATGAGATCGAGAGATGACCGTGATCGGCCTGATCGACGATCATGCTGACATCTTTTGAGAGCTGCCATGATCACGACATGCAAGCGGTGTATACATCCTCCACTCGCCATAACTACTCCGGTAAGTATACACAAAAGCACACAACGCAAGCTGCTCCATTTCTCTCCTGAAAGGCATATTCTAGTACCAACCGTGGTCTAGACATTAAAAACTCCCTGGCGGGGAGTCGAACCCCGCTTTCGCGCGTTACATAAGCAGCCAATCAGAAGCCAGCAAGTGACAGGCGCGTGTACTAACCGATATACTACCAGGGATTGATATATACTCTGACTGATATAAATTCAATGAGGCTTCCCAAAGACGATGTCGCCCAATTCAAGGACAATCGCCCCTCTTAGCGAGATGCCACACAACTCTGATTCAGACGACGATCCGGATTACGTTCCTCCTGAAGATACCAGTACGTCAGATCCAGTGTGAATCATGTCTTTACGAGCGCACTGACGGAAGACACGCAGACTCGTCGGGCGACGAGCGCAACGTGAAACGCGCGAGGAAGCGTTCTCCATCGCCTCATGCAAGTGCAGCAGCTCCCCAGGTAGCTAATGATGATCCTACGCAGTGAGTGAACAAGCGGGTACTGAAGTAAGATTAACTCTACTTACGTAGAGTGAAAGGACACGGCATGCGTTGTGGGCAGACTTTCAAGCCTCCGTGTCCGCGATGGAGACATCATCAAAGTCTACGTCGGCCATACCTTTATCACGCATGGTCAAGATCGAGAAGCGCTTCCGCTTTGCGGGCGAGGATGTCATGTAAGTGCTACTACCTTGCCGGTTGTCTGTCCATCGTATATAAAGCATCGTGCAGAGAGATCGAGGAAGTACCAGAAGATTCTGAAGCTGCAAAGAAGTGGCCCCTGTGGCAGCCGCCGGAGACACCAACGGCCAATGCGCATCAGAACGAGGAAAAGCCAGTGCACTCTCCCATCGATACTGCTTCTGATATGGGGGTGCCTGAGGCGCTCGCGAGCGGCAGTGGCCCAGGACAGAGCTCGACTGCACCTATTGCACCTATTATACCCACTACTTCCAACTCAAAACCATTTGGGAAGCGTCCTGGGCCTCGCAAGCCCAAAGTCACACTCGCGCCGTTACCTGGTGCTCAAAAAGCCAAAAAGCTCACGACGCTGGACAAATCCACGATGGATTGGCGTGCGCACGTGCGCAATGAAGGCGACTCGGGCCTCAAGGACGAACTCGAGGCGAATAGGCGTGGTGGCGGATACCTGGAGAAGGTGGAGTTCCTACAGCGCGTCGAGGAACGTAAGGCGGATGCGCTCGACGCAAGCAAGTCGAAGCGACGACGGCCGTGATGATTTCGGCTTCAGATATTCTACCTAATATCCGCCATGAGCTGAAATCCCGCTTGGAACTTCTGGGGTAGGAGATTGTGCGAACAAGACGAAAAGAAGGGTTAGATTGTTCGATGCTTCTACGATTTGGTATTACGTCTTGCATGTAGAATATACAGAAACGGCGCATGGCGCTCTACATGGTCTATACATGCTGACGCCGCGGGAATCATGAGAGATAAGTTAGCTACGCAATACATATATGCAAGCAAAGCAAGTCCGCATCAGTATGTGTCTGGCCCGGATCCGAGACTACGAGGGACAAGGAGTATCCGTGTAGTGATCTGCACGAGTACGGTCGAAGTCTCTCGCTCAATAGTTGCAATTATATCCGCTCATACATGCAAATGTATGCCTTGGCTTTGAGCACCTCGTCGATCGTCGTGAGCCGGACGACCGTGTCGCTGATGTACGCCCACTGTCTCTGGCGCTTCGCTGGCTTCTGCGCGCCCTCTGTGCTCTCCTTGGACTGCTGTACACTCAACTTTGGAGACGCAGGATATGCAGAGGGTGAGCCCTCTTTGCCCACAGTTTCAGGGTTCGGCACGGCTGAAGATGGACTGGAAGGAGGCAGAGCAGTGTAGGCCACATAGTGACCACCGAGCTTGAAAAAACATATCAGGGCCCTATCATAACTCGAAGTCGACTTTGAACATACCATGTTGCCGATATGCACGACCACCGCATACAGGCGATACATGCACGGCTCCGGCTCCCTCTCCTTCTGCTCCTTCCCATGCTCCGCTTTACCCTTGGCGTGCCCTAGGCCATAGTCCTCTTTACGCGGCGCCAGGAACGGCGTAAGGTCTAAATACTCTGGGAACGCGACGAACTCGTCCAGCTTCTTGAACCCGCCCGTGAGCGTCACGCTGTGCGACTTGGACACCTGATGGAAGCGCTTCAGGTGCACGACGAGGATTGGTGGCGGCACCGCGATGAGGTACCGCTTGTACGTCCGCCTTAGTACGACCTGCTGTGACTTGGGCACCTTTGCCTTCCGCTTCGCCGAGCGCGCAGCGGAGGCAGACGCCGATACCACGGACGGCTGCACGGGGGAAGTGGCCGTGCTCCGCAGCCGCTCGACGGACGCATTTGGCGAGGCCGCGGGCGACGCGACGGGGGACGCGTCCGAGTAAACAGACGTATGTCCGGACGCCTCGCTCTCGGACCCGAAGCTCTCGTCCGAGCTCGAGCTGCTGTCGTCGAGGCCACCTGTCCTGCGCCTGCGAGGGCGGGATTGATTGGGGGCGCGAGGCGTGAGCAAGGAATCGACTGAAGGCGACGCACCAAGGCCCTGAATCGCGCCGTCCGACCTTTCCTCAGCAGAGGGTTCCTCGCCAGAAGATTGGGCAGGCGGAGAGATTGGGGACTCTGGAGCAGTAGTAGAGATAGAAGGAATGGGTAGGCCGACGTAAGTGGATGGGCGCGCAGTGGATGATGTTACAGGTTTGGCTGGCTTCTCCTTCGACGGAGGGCTTGAATGGTTGACAGAGATCGACTCCACTGTGGTAGGCGCAGAAGACACAGACTTGGTGTCGTAGAAGTAGTCAGATGAAACCGAAGCAGTCATGTCGAGGGCAGAGGCTGATGCAGCGGATATACGTCCACCGAACAACTCATCCGGAGACGACAGTGCGCCATCGGAGCTACTGCTTGGCGGTTGAGACGACTCGTCTTGCCCAGTGTGCTCTGCGCTATCTTCGCTGTTCTCGCTCTCTGAGTCTGCATCCTCCTCCTCTTGCTGTTCGGAATGCTTCGGCTTGTACAACCCATTTGCAATCTTCCAGCAGCGATGACAGCCGACCATGTTCTCCCCATCAAGTATCTCGACAGCCGTGAACATGCGTAGACACTCCTCGATGCCCGGCAAATGTCCCATCTTGGTCCACATCGCTTGCGCCGACATCGGCGTCGCGGGGGTAGCACCTCCGCCAAGAGCGCCACCGCTCAATGCGGTGTGCAACACGGCCAGGGGGTTGTTGCTAGCGAGATGAATATCTGCGAGGAGCTGTCGGAGATAGGCAGACTCTTCCGGAGAAGACTTGGGAGCGGCAGGGGACTTGTGGCTATGGCGCACGTGAATGAACGGCGACCCAGACGATCGCCGAATATTTGGCAGCCGGATTGCAGCGGGGATAGCAGAGGGCGTCGACACGGGCGAAGGCGGTACAGGCGAGGCAGAAATACTGCGTATCCGGGCTCCATCAGCCTCGCCCGCATTCGAGGTAGCATCGATGGTCGGTCGTCTCGACGGTGCAAGGGAGGCCCGCGACTCAAGCCCGTCGCCGTCCGTGGCCTGCATATCGTCACCCTTGTCTCTCCGCCTGCCCCGCTCGCGTTCGTGCGACCGGCTGGACCGCCGTGCGTCCTTGTCGATCCACCCCATCTTCACCGACATGCTGAGACGGCGTCCGAGCTTGCCCCATGGGTCGTCCTTGTCCTTGTCTTTGCACTTGCCCTTCTTTTCCTTATCCTGATCGCCTTCCTCTCTCTCCCGCGCCTTCTCCCCTTTGCCAAACGGCGTGCCCGCGCCCGAGCGCACACGGTCTGGCTCGTCCATCTCGCTCTCCTCTCCGCTCAACTCGTCCTCGACCGCCGACTCCGCCGTGCGCTGCTCGCCCGACATCTCGCGCACCTCATCCCGCGCCTCGTCCATCTCCGCGCTCGCGTGGTCGAAGCTCTTCCGCCGCGGGTCCTCGAGGATCGGGGGCTCCTCCTCCTGCGCGGCGACCTCCGAGCTGCGCCGCACAGCTGCGGGCACGGACGACGAGCGGTGCGTGGGCTGGCGGAACCGCAGCTTGCGCGCCAGCATCTTCAGGCGGTCGCGCTTACGGCCCTTGCCGTAGTCCTCCGGCTTGATGCTCAGGCTCAGGTCGTTGAAGTCCTCGTACGTGAGCGACACCTTCTTGCACTTTTCGCACACCAGGATGCTCGCGAGCCGCCCGCCAAAGAGCATATCGACGAACGACTCGAGCTTTTCGTCGTCCGACGGCGCGATTGATGGCGAGGACAAGCCGTCCGGCTGTTGGGGGAGTGCTGGTGATGAGGTGGATGCTCGTGCGGATGGATCTTGAGGCTCAGGAGTCGAGGCGGTAGCTGGAGAGGCTTTTGGCCGCGAGCGCTTCCGCTTCTCCTTCGGCGGCGGAGGTAGTCGCTGCTTGATGATCTGCAACAGGTTGAGCGCTGAGACTCACGGATAGACTGCGAAAATACAAACATCGAGCTCCTCCATACGCATCGCATCCAACATATGGCGCAAAAACTCGTGCGCATCCTGCTGTCGAAAGTCCAGGTACTGGTCATACTTGCGACCAATCGCCATCAGGATGTCCCTGCGCAGACATCAGCAGCGCCCTCGGCCACACCAAGACAGACACCCACTTCGGGCTCATGCTCCCCCGTTGCCGGCTGTCCTGCATACTCCAGGCCTTCTGCATAGTCTGGATAAAGATGTCGCCCAATGGCATACCCTCGACCCTTGCACGTTCGTATTGGCCGCCAAGCCCGTGCCCGTTCGTGAGCTGCGGTGAGCGCCTCGCGATAATGGACGAGCCGGTCGATTTCTGTAGGTTGGGGGGGACGGGCTCGAAAGTAATGAGGTTGTGCAACAGCTCGGTGGCCATGAGCTGGGTGCACGTCAGCACTGTGCAGTGCACTCGACGCACAAAGTATAAAGTCAATACGCACGCCTTGCAGGGTCGAGTTCATGAAGCACGTATTGCCATGGTTGATCAAGCCCGGAGGCAGGTGGGCGTCCTTCTCCTCTTCTTCCCGCTGCTTCCGTGCACGATAGAGTTCTTGCGCTGTTGGGTTCTTCTTGTGCTTCAACATAGATGAGTGGCGGTCTCAAAAGTGATGGGTATATGCGTGCAGATGCGAGCAACTCAGAATGATTGACGA